TGCACTGATGATGGCCACGGCCGAAAGCGCTTTGCACTGATATTTATTAAAGAATTTTGCACGAAATACAAACTTTTTTCATTCTTCATTACTCCTCAACGTGCACACAGCTCTACACCCTCTATTTTGTATACCTATTCAACAATACATGGTAGAGATGGGTCGGTATTTAAATACCGCGATTTTGTTGCAGTATTTTTTAGGAACGGCGCGTCGCGCTCCAAAACTATCGAGTAACCGGTTACTGGGGAACCGAAAAAACTACAATGTCAATTCTCCATTCGCCCCTTTTCGCCCGTCTGCCATTGGCGCCATTTGCGTTTTTTTTTTTTTTTTTTCTCAAGATCTGTGAGTTTTCGTTGTTGGAAAAATCTTCAAAATCTCAGTTGATTACAGGTCTACTAGATATAACAATATAAATTATCCAAAATCATGAAAAACACTCTTCTCATTACGATATTATAGATATCTGTGCGCTTAACTTTTTTTAGTGGCCTTCCAAGTAGAATAGATGGCGCTAAAAATGCAGTTACTAGATCGCGGTATTTTGTCGCGGTATTTTTCTAGAGCCGCCGCGACAGGAACCGCGACAAAAGGTAAGCCGGTATGCCCATCTCTAATAGATGGTGTGGTTTTTATCTTTTTCAATATAATTGGTATCCTTTTTTGGTATTTTTTTTTTCTCAACCCTTCTTAATAAATTTCAAAAAAATACAAAATTTGAGCCAATTTTATCACCCATTATAAAAAAATGCAAAAAATATTCTCCCCCCAATACCTTGGATCACGCGAATTCTCCCAAACTCAATTTGGAGGTATTATCAGTTCTCACAGAATAGCACAAACTGCGAGATGGGAGGCTAGCAAAACGTCAGAACCAAATGAGAGCTGTCTTGGTTGCAATTGGCAAAGCGATAACCTTTTCCTAAAAGAAGGAGGGGAGCACACACAAGGGGTCTGATAGAAAGGCTCAGTGATGCATGACGCTCACTCTCCGACATTCACCACGAAGTCTTCTTGTTGAAGAACTCCAGTTTCGGTGGACGTTGATAAGCAGCTAAAAGCTACGCTACCCAACATTTCCGTAGATGGCTGGTTATTTGGGCAAAACTTGGGTGAACGAGTGAAAGTAGCACGGGAAATGGAAAAATTATCGGCCGATCTCAATTTCAAGTCGGCTGTCCCCAAACCTACCAACACCTTAAACTTGAAGGGTCTGCCTGGTGGGGATCTCAAAAGGTACCGAGGCAGGCCGAAATATACCCGAAAAATCCAGAAATACGACGCCAAGAGCTCTCAAAAGGCCCCTTAGGCAACAAAGGAGAATCCTACATTTTACCGGCGCAACCAGTCCAAGGACGATCGAACACGGAGACATACAGGGCTATGCGACACTTGATTTAAAACCAATATTGAAATAATTCGAATAAATATTGACTTTCATTTCAATATTGGAAAAAAATTGGCATGCGGTAACTACACTTGAAATAATTTCGTTGAAATGAAAGTTGATTGAAATTAATGTCAATATTCATGGGCGCCGCCAGGATTAGTTTCAGGGAGGTGCATACGGTCAGTGGCGCCGCGTGAATTGTTATATTGGTTCAAAAATCACTAATTTAAAAAGGTGAATGCCCGACGCAGGAGCTGCCGAAGGCGCGAAAATTTTTCCGGGTACCACGCCCAAAAACGGGGACGTTTAAAAAAAATAATTTTTCTAGGTGATTAAGTAAATTATATGATGTGTTACGGGATGATTTTTCCCGCACCAAAATAAAAGGAAATAAGCTTATTCACCTCTCTGAATAGCTTACCTTCCTCAAGCCACTGTTTTCTATCCAATAGTTGTAGCCAAACTTTTCATCAAACTTTTTGTTTTTCCCAGAATCATTAAGTTAGAGGTTTATTAATGGAATTGATTTTCTGTTAGTAGGGTTAAAATAAATAGACAATTAATTTATTAATAAAACAAAATCACAATATTTACACTAGAACAGCTGATTGTCTGATCCGAGTAGATTGTCTAGATTGACAGCGCTCCAAATAGAGTCAGTGACCGGTACTAACTTAATTTGAATAAGTACCATTCCCCAACTACCATCAAAATCCCCAGTACCTTCCACCTTGGAGTTTTGACAGAGACTTTTTAAAGGACATTGCAGGGACAGGCAGAGGTCATTCAGGTCGAGGACTTTCCACGATTAAGTGTTCGGGAAAACTCCTCAGGCACATTTTGCCGATTTCTGAGTTGCCAAGTTTCGCTCATAGATCTAGGGTGGCTAATTCGCTATTTTAGCACCCAATCGCCTTGTGCAGATTTTTTTGTGAGTCGAAAAACAGCAACGTGGTCAATTGTTTGTTCCTAAAGGCCAAAAGTAATTTTGGTAAGTGGTTTTTCTTATTAATCTTCTCAGTTTCTCTATTTCCTATGTAAAAGCATAGTTTTCTGTTAATTATACGGTTAAATTCCGAATATCGGACATACCTACCTCTATTGCTCCACGCCCTGTCTCATAACGTCCATTTGTTTCAGACCTTTAATCTTTACCCTTAGATGTCCCCTTTTATTCGTCACGCTTCAGTCCCTAACTTCCAGTAAAGAGTTATACGTTAAGCTTACGGTATACTTCGAGTAGGACCTACAATCTTCAGCCTCCTTTAGACAATTGGAAGCCTTAGTGCCCAGGGCCAGTTGCTTCTTGTTGCGGCCTTGATCCAGACCCAGGCCATCGGAAACACTGGAAGATATTAATTCCATCCGTCAGGTTCCCCCAAGAGTTTAGGGACTACTCAGGTTTGATAAGTGGGTTGTATTGTCTTAATATCAAACCTTACCAACCCCTTGTTGGAGTAAATCACCACAACAACGCAGTTCTTCTATCTTAAAATTATCCTTCAGATTAGATGTTATTATTTCAGTTTTAATCAATTATATATCTTACCTTTACTATATGAAATTTACCATTCAGGTTGGGTATTATTAGGTATTTCAATTTTATTAGGTATCTAGGTATCTATACTACCTATATTGTTACATAATATTAAAGCCCTTCAGGTTACGTATTGTTACTTCAACTTTGATTAATGCTGCACTGAATACAGGTAAATATTTGTACGCTGGGGTTAAATGGCCATTTACGAAGGTACTGCATTTAGTTCTGTTTATTGATTATGTAATGTATTTATGGCCAATTTTATCACAGACTAATTTGAGTTAACTGATAGATTCTTATTAGTAAAAGTCATTGACTAAAATTTATTATTATTTTTCAAAGGTCATTAAATAAATAATTCAAATTTGGTGCTTATCAGCTGTTGGCTGCCATTTAACAATAAATATTAATATTATAAATAATTCTTTTGGCAAATAAAAATCATGCACCGGAGTGAATTTTAAGCGCTTCCATTTCATTTTAGTTTGTTATGCTCATTGAGGTTTTTGGCAGTGCTTCCATTTAGGATTGAGTGTTTCCTGTTTTTAGTTCATAATCGGTAGCTTCGTTTGACTATAGGGAAGGAAAAACAGGTGGCGCCTTTTTAGTTTACCCACACCACTCTCCACTATTGAGAGTTAGTCGGACACCCTAAAAACAAAGCTCCACAGTCGCTCGATTTTGTTTATTGGAGTACCTCAGCCACCTTTTTGTGTATTAATTTATTGTTAGGGTTTCCCCCAGTTTTGAAACCTTTAACAGATGTTTTCACCTCGGTGGAAAGTGGCACGGGCAGTGGCGGATCTAGGGACGAGTGGCCCTCAGGGCTAAATATATTTGGGGGCCCCTAGGCCTAACCTATCCCTTGAGCAGTGGCGCACCCAGAAAATATGATTATAGGGAATGGGGGGACCCTACAAAGGTTGTGGCTTGTGTCTAAAAATCTAAATAAAAAATTGACGTGTCAGGGTGCCACGCCATGATGTCAATTTGTACGTACAAATACAATTTTGGACGGGTGGCATAGGGGGGGGGGGTGCTGGACCGATGCTCCCCCTGGGTGCGCCACTGCCCTTGAGTGTCACGTAAAAAGTAGGAAAATAAAAATGCGGCCTGGAAATGGAAATCACAATATATGGACGGTTGGGTCGGTCTGTGTTTCTCGAAATTATGGTCGGATATATTCGGAATATTTCGGAAGTACGCTCAGCATTGCCAGATCCTCTCAACCACAGAAACGAATATTATTAGGGATGGTAAATGCTATTTTAGAAGATAGGAATTGAGTCCTTATTGAATGTAGCTTAATTAAAATGTTATTATATTTGTTTTGCATGTATGACATTTTTTTTCCTATATATTCGAAATTTTCTGCAGCATCGTGGGGCCCTTTTGGACCGTGGGCCGGGGCCTTATTCTGTAAAAAACGAACCATTCGGATCGGTAAAATTTCTTCGATTGTGACGTCATTTTCGGTTTGGTAGCGCGAAAACCAAACCAAAAATGACGTCACAATCGAAGAAATTCTACCGAATCGAACGGTTTGTGACAAGATATCAGCAAATTATCCTTGGGATGTGTGACTATGTAAGTTTCCTTATATATTTCGGATATTTACATTGATGTTGCGATGTTGTACGGAGATAAAAAAAAATTGGAAGGGGACAGGAATTGGTTGTGCGCAGATTTATTTAATATGGAGTCTAAGTTTTTCTTTTTTAAATACGGGTACTTTTGTTCTAAGTTTTTGCTAAGAGTGGGGGATAGGTGGGTTTTTATTCCGGACCCAGTAAAGATTTTGACGAAGTTGGGGAGGAGAGACTTGGTGAACGAGGAGCATGCTGAGGAATATCGCCGTTCCTGCATGGATCTGGTGAAGGATTACGCCCTTGTTTTCGGTTCCGGAATCGTGGGGGCGGCTTTGAGCGAACGCTATAAATGTTAGACTGCTAGTGCCTTCAAGGATAGATATGGTAATGGTGTGCACGAAGCTATGGGGCAAAAGTGTAGAAACGGTAATGAAGATCTTTTCCGATTTCAATAGTGTAAGTAGACATCACTTTATAGTTCATGTCCCGGATGCGGCCATTATGCTAATGATAAGGAATAATATGAATAACTACCCGAACTTATTCGATGACTTGACCGCTGTGATTCCACCTCAGCTTTCGGTATGGACTAATTCAGAGCATTACAAATTTAGACCGGTTTACCTTTTGGACGGGGGAAAGATAAACTATGCTAGAAATTCTATGATTGAGCAGTTGGAGTTGTGGAGATTCTCTCAAAAGGCGTACGAAAGAAGGCACTACGAGGTGTACAAGCGATTAAGACTAGATTATCCACCTTTCATCAAGGAACTTAGAGAGATGACGGAGAATTTCTGTGTAGTAGATAGGCGTACCGGTAAGTGGCTGATAAGGCCGACTTATAAACGAAAGGAGTATATGTACGCGTTCGATGGTGAAAAATTGTTGACCGTTAAAAAATTAGAAAACGACTATGGATACGTACCAGAGACAATATCTAAAACTGGAGGTGAGTATTTGTTAATGTCAAATGACACCGAACTGATGCTGGATGATAGGTTGCACGAAGTGTGCAGGAATTTTGACATAGTCAATTTTACACCACCAGTAGTGCAGCTTACTCAGAGTGTACCAGGATGTGGTAAGACGCATTACATACTTAAGACTCACAAGGGACTGAAACAGGGACAAGAGTTAAAATATGACCACGCAGGGCGTATTGAAAATGTGGACTTGATATTGACATCCACTAAAGAGGCAGCAGATGATTTGAAGTCCAGATCAATCAAAGAGAGTTACACGGGGGACAGAAAGTATTACAGGACTACACATTCATACTTACTAAATTCGAGAGACATCTTTAGAACCGTATACGTCGACGACGCACTAATGAGGCACCCCGGGGAGCTTATGTTTATATGTGCTCTATCTGGTTGTGCGCGTATGGTGTTGTTGGGCGATAAAAACCAAATACCGTACGTGAATAGGCGATGCTTAGATTCGACTCATATGATTTTGTCAACGTCGGTGAAATACTAAGTATAAGCTATAGGTGTCCAGTTGATGTTGCGGCCAGACTGAGTGATGTATATCCTCAAGGTATGAAGTCAGTCAAGAACCTGAAAGATACTGTGTCCATGAAGAAAATCAACTGTATTAATGATGTACCGAACTTAAAGGACAGGATGTATCTGGTGTTTAAACAGTCAGAGAAGGAAGAGATACAGAGAGTAATGAAGTTACCCGTGGGAACGATACATGAAAACCAAGGTAAACAATTCGATCACGTGATAGTGGTGAGGCTTTCGGCTAAACCAGAGGAGAGTCTGTACAAGAGGGATGCTTATGCGTTGGTGGCTATATCACGACATCGCAAATCCCTACTGTATGCCACTATGGTGCTGACTGATTCGTTGGCAACTATGATTAGTAGAAAGCCTTCGGAGCGGGATCTGTCAAATAGTCTGGTAACACTGAAGGGAGGATACAGCATTGTATTAGAGAACAGAGTAAAAACTAGCCTGGAAGACGCGGACTTATCGTCTGTAGTGGATGTTAATGAAGGTATCGTGCTGCACACAGGTTTTCAGCCATTCCGTAGCAGCAGCTATCAATGTATTTGCATTTTCAGGTGAATATTTTTTTCATACATTATAGATCTAACTTTATAAAAAGCACATGTTAGAACTTAACTACTTTTCAAAACTAACAAAAATTCTCCACTCCAGTATGTTGAAGCTTAAACGTTTTGGCGATGGCTAGAATTCTTGTATTGAGAATCCAAATATTAAATTTGTGTGTAATATTTAATTAACTTATTATTTTTAATTTTAGGCACAACAGTTGACACTGGGGAAGATATACTGAAATTGGATCCATCTGCTGCAGCAACAGCCAGCCTTTTGGAGTTTTTGGACAAGTTGTTTGAATGGAAGTTCTTTTGGAACAGCCGCTGCTCCGGGAAAAGTGTAACGAACAGCAGTAACACAAGGCTCCCCACATATTAAATTTTGGAATAAGCCGGTGGTCAAATTGAAAAAATTCCAATTCATTCAAAATAGAAGAAAACGCTTTTCGCCACCAAGTTTAACCAATTTAATACGGACTATAAAAAATTTTGGTCTGCTATTCCAAGAATTAAAAGGCTGCAAAATCAGACAAAAAGGCCACCGTAATATAAATCCCAAAGCCTCTGATTTCACTGCTGACTATAAAAGCTTGTTGGAGAATGGTTTAACCTCGTCCCAACTTCACATACTTAGATATTTTATTCTACAGGGTTTGCCAGAAGATGGAGAACTCCCAAGAGAGGTCTATTGCACAGTCCCATCTAACCTGTTGCCCACTGTAAAACCAGTTGAAGCTGGTGTTGTGAAATATGTGCCCGGGTACCTTTTAAAAAAATTGGTAATATCTCGTGCAATTGCAAAAAAATTTGTTTTAAATGTTCTATATCTGAAGAATCCACAGATTTTATGAGTTTTAAAGAGTATGACATGCAAAGAAGATTGAAATATGTGAGCAAAGATTTTCTAAAAAAAAAATACATCTAGCTTTAACAATAATAAGGTATATATTTAATAGGGATTGTCATAAAAAAAATGTTGTAGGATATACCTTAAATACTTTGAAAGAAAGAATTGCCTTCACAGACTGTTCACACGAGAATCTGATAAAACAGTATTTTAAAATATTTCAATAAAGTAAATATATTCAATTATGCCAAACAGGTGAACCACACAATAAAAGGAGTGGATTTGAGAGTGATTCCTGAAAGAGCTCCAAAAGTATTTTAAGCAGCAAAAAAAATTATTTCAATAATTAAAAATAAATAAATAAAAGATTAACAAAATATAAATAATATGTACCATCGTCACCAAAAGTATCTGGGACACAAATAATGCATAATAATCTCCTAGACTAATTCTACTGTCATTCATTTCAATGCATTTAATTCATAGTTTGACAAATATTTGACAATATTATTCATATAATAGGACAAGAGCTAATGTGATGCTGTCCCAGTTACTTTTGGTGACGAGGGTATATATCTATATTATTTCAATTTTAATTATTCCTACAGTATTTGGGTTTTGTTGGATGGAGTCTATCTAAAACAAAAAACCAGAACTGTTCTGTGTATGTGAAACAGAACGAAACTGGTTTTCTCTTTTAGTTAAGACTCCATCCTGCTCCATCCAATAAAACCAAAATACTGTGAGATTGAAAATGAATTACAAAACTCCACATTAAATAATTCTTTTCATTTTTTTTTGGAACTTGGAACAATTCATGTGATGTAAAACTGTGGGTTCTTCTAGCAGCTATTTTATTTTCCTTTCTTAAAGGGATGTTGATTGTGTTTCCTTTATTTATTTATTATTTGTATATTGGATTTGAAATACCTATATTAAAAAATGCGAATTTCTTGTTTGTTTTTGAATTTGAACTCCCTAAAAATTAATTTGGATTGCCGGTAGTGCAGCGCTACGCACTTAGCCCCATCTATTAACGGAGCCCCGAACAGAGCTAACGCTTAATTTTTTTCCAACAGTTTTCTTTTGAAATGTCATGCGAGTTTTCTTCATAGCCAGCAAAAGCACCACATTTGTAATTTTTTTGTTAACATGGGAGTTTCCATTCTATATCCCCCCTCAAACCCTACTCTATGATAGTTTTTTTCTCAGAATTTCAACACCCTGTATCTGGAAAGGAAGCGTTTCCGGACATATGTTTATATAGAAAATTAGGGCTTATTTTTGACGTAGAATATGCCATAAAAATTAGTGCACCAAATTTAAATGTCATATATTATCCATTTTCAGGATCATAGCGACATCATTTCCCAGTTTTTCAACTGAGGATCAGAGGAGCCGGTCTATTGATTGGTCGCCTTTCTGTGGACAGGGTCAAATCCAAACTAATCAGCCGGATAACTTCTTTCAAGGAGACAAGTAATAGTCCAAGAAACGGGGATCTAAAAAGAGGGTTTACCTCAACATAATTAGAAGTTAACATTTTTTGGGGGGGGATCGGTTCATTTTCATGTGCTTAATAACATATTAAGTTTGCGACCTTGTACTTCCATAGGGTTTTTAGTTAGGGGTGGTTTTTAGGGGTAATTTGCGGTTTATGGAGAACGCTGCTCAAAAGGATGGTCCAATAGAAAAAAGTTTCAAATGAATGTTGTAGCTGAAGTTTTTTGCTAAAAAAAACTCAGCGACAGCACCCTTCTATCTTCTATAGTTTTTTTTCAGCAGCGTCTTGAATATTAGCATGTTTTTATTCAAGGTCACTGAATCAACGTTTGACCTGTTTGCGCGCGTTTGATACAGCAGCGGCTAAATGCATAATCCGATTTCAATTTTTCAAACACCAAATTATTGCTAATGAAATGCACTCTCCAATGCTTTTTTGTTCGAATTTTTTGCTTGAAAATTAAGCGAGCACGGACTTGGCTAATGTGCGAGGAAGTTGTAAATTGCATCGAAAACAACCCCTTTCTTGCATTCACTGTAATTTCTAAACGGGGCGAAATATTTGGTGACAGTTTTCGACAATCGGCAGCCCATTTATTCCTCTCATATTGCCCCAGCGGATTTTTTTTTTCGTTATTTACTCAATGACTTATTGGCCTGAACACGTCGCGCGGAATTTTTCAAAAAGTCGAAAAAAATTAAAATTGTAGCATAGCGCTGAAATTTGGTATGATGGCTTTTTTTAAATTTAAAATTGCAGTATATTTATGAAAACAATAAATAATGCCATCGTACCAAATTTCAGCGCTGTGCGACAATTTTAATTTTCTTTGACTTTTTGAAAAATCCCGCGTGACGGTTTTAGGCCAATAAGTCATTGAGTAATTAACGAAAAAAAAATCCGCTGGGGCAATATGAGAGGAATAAATGGGCTGCCGTTTGTCGAAAACTGTCACCAAATATTTCGCCCCGTTTAGAAATTACAGTGAATGCAAAAAAGGGGTAGTTTTTGATGCAATTTACAACTTCCTCGTACATTAGCCAAGTCCGTGCTCGCTTAATTTTCCAGCAAAAAATTCGAACAAAAAAGCATTGGAGAGTACATTTCATTAGCAATAATGTGGTGTTTAAAAAATTGAAATCGGATTATGCATTTAGCAGTTTCTGCATCAAACGCGCGCAAACAGGTAAAACGTTGATTCAGTGACCTTGAATAAAAACACGCTAGTATTCAAGACGCTGCAGAAAAAAAACTATAGAAGATAGAAGGGTGCTGTCGCTGAGTTTTTTATAGCAAAAAACTTCAGCTACAATATTCATTTGAAACTTTTTGCTATTGGACCATCCTTTTGAGCAGCGTTCTCCATAAACCGTAAATTACCCCTAAAAACCACCCCTAACTAAAAACCCTATGGAAGTACAAGGTCGCAAACTTAATATGTTATTAAGCACATGAAAATGAACCGATCCCTCCCAAAAAATGTTAACTTCTAATTATTTTGAGATAAACTTCCTTCATTGCTTGGCCTATAAGTATACTTTATCTGAATGTTGAAAAAAAAATTCATAAATCTCGCAATCCTTTCAGATTTGATCACTGTTTGGTTGATTGGGAATTTTACCACACATGTTTGTTTTGGGGATTTCACTAAAGAGGATAGGACCGTAGTCGATTACCGGAAGAAGTATTTGAGGACGTATAGCAACGGCAAGATTTTGTCTCCGAGAGATGTATCCCGAATTCGAAAACAAGCGTGACGTGCTGGAACTCCAATTCCAAGTGGGAGTTGTTTTCAGCAAAATATACCTGTTGATTTCGCTCAGGAGGATAGGACCATAGTCGACTACCGGAAGAAGTATTTGAGAACGTGTAGCAACGTCAAGATTTTGTCTCCGAGAGATGTATCCCGAATTCGAAAACAAGCGTGACGTGCTGGAATTCCAATTCCAAGTGGGAGTTGGTTTCAGCAACATATACTTGTTGCTGAAGATAATAATAATAATAATAATAATAAATTTTTTATTTGCCAATACAAAATACAGGGTTCTAAATTTAATTAA